ACCTTTTCCAAAGGTAGATTTGGCTTGCTATGGCACTCACAAGAAATGCAATTAGAAATGAGTGGCATCCAGGAGTTTCCATGTCAAGTTCCTTTTGGAACTGGTGGTCAGGCAGTAGGTCACAGCAAGAGAACCAGACAGCAACAGCCCTTTGCTAATACTCAAAAAATCAAAATAACTGAAAAGTGAGTTCCTGCCATCTAGTTCATCCACAGCATTCGACTTCATGGCGTGTGACTGCACTTCTGGCATAACCTAACTATTTCTGTTCACAGTTCACAAGATTTGTAGCTAGCTCAACAATAGTTTGGCTTGGCCTATCCCAGCCGAATGCCATCCTGCTGAAGCAAGATCACAGAACTTGGAAAAATAGAAAAAATTTTCCTGTTTTTAGCCATTATTATGTAGGGCACAGTGTGGGGAGTTCGCAAAAGCAGAAGCTTTTTGTTTGGATGGACAAAAAATGTGGAAGAAAAATGCATTTGTTACCCAACATAGAGATCACCCGAAATAAATACATGAAAACAAATAAGGACTAAAACCAGACAAAATTCTAGCCTCATAATTTGTCTTCTCACTCTTGCTCCTATTGCCTTACACTCCTTCTTTACTTTCAAGATTTCAAATAAAAAAATGCTTAAATGTCACTTGTTACACTGATTTAAGACCCATTTTCTTCACAACAGAGGATAGTAAAAGCATTTCCCAGCTCCAGTTGGGGGTGATGTAGAAAAAAAATGAAGACATACAAAGGACAAAAATTATAATTAACCTTTAAACTTTCTATAAAAGTTGTTTCCCATTGGTAAGTAAACAATGGTTCCAATTTAGATTTGTTTCAGACTATAGCTCAGTACAATAAAACAATATTCAAAGGAGTAGTGAGATATCCTAGTTTATGGGATAAACATATCAAAAAATGTGTCTTAGAATATTTTCATTATTTAATGTATAAAATGACCAGATAACTTTACAGTTAGAGCCCCAAGTACTGAAATCAAAGGATGAACTCTTATGGATGTTAAGTCCTTTTGATCAGAACTATTTTACTAGAACACAATCAATGAATTTTGTTCCAGAGCTCATTATTTCTTATTCTTTTCTCTAATATCACAAGCATTCTTTAGGCACAGGGGACAGTTAGCTCTCAGCTTTTAATGATATGTTAATTATGGCAATCTCTGTAGACACCATCACCTCTTCTCTTAATTCATAATGGAAGCATAAAATATCAGTGCAGCTTTCTATTGCAGTAGCATAGGTCACTGTACTCTAGTGGGTTTTTGTGACAGCTTACTCTTTAAAGCCTTTTTTATAATTCAGTAATAAATAAGTAGCTAAGCATTATATTTAAAACAGAAAGGTATTTTATTTTGTGAATGAATTACAACTAGTAAAAAGAGAAACTGAAGACTAAAAAAAAAAGTGCTCTCTCTTGTATTTTTTTCAAAGGTAATTATAATTTCATACTGAACCAAATATACTGAACCAAGTTCTTGTTTACCACCTAATTAGAGATGCATATCAATCAAGTAAATGCTCATTTTTCCCACAGAAAAAAAGTTCTGTGCTCCATCAGCAAAATACTGCTCTAGTGCCTCCAAAAGGTTTAAAAGAAGCATCTCCATTCTGCCCTGGATCATTCTTCATTCACTCACCTATCTACATTAACATTTACTACAAAGCAGGAACACACATCTTATGTGACTCTCCTGATCATTCCCACTCAATACCTAACTCAGGTTACAACCTAAATTACTGGCAGTGTTGTAGGAAACTGTCTTACCAACAAGCCACAAAGCATTTGTAAATACTACATCACAAATTGTGTTTCTTTTGCAACCATTGAGAAATAAAAATACTATTTTCAAGCATGGGAGTCAATTTTCTTTTATCATTACCTTAATTTTGTCTTAGGGAAAAAAAACCACTGATGATAGCAACACACTTGTCAACTTCCCAATCACTCCATGAACATGAAATATTAGTATTTAAAGGCATATATATAATTCTGCCATCAAGCATCATTGTCTTCAACATATTATTTAAGGATTTTGTAATCTCAGATGTCACTCCCTCTCTTGCTTTTATTGTAATGCCTTTCTTCTGAGAAATGTAGATTTTTTATATAAATAATAATGTATACTATATCTACAAATTAAGAACTTCCACCTTTCACAGACAACTGAAACAGAGATAATATGGCCCAGATTCACAAATTCTCTGAAGTCATCTTCTCCCAGAAAAGATTACAATAACTAATTTACTTTTGAAAATTACTGCATTCTAAGTGAACTCTCCTGCAATTTGAAGCCATCTTATTGCAGTAATATCTATTACAAAAGAGAAACAGATTGTTTGGGGTTTTTTTCCTGAATCAGACTTTGGTTAAAGGTGTCATTACATCTCCAAACCAAGTGAATATTAATGCCATGGGGGTGTCAGTCATGACTCTTAGATGTGGGAAAGCTCCATTTCACATTTACAAGAAATTAGTTCAAATCCTGCTGTGCTCAAAAACCACATTATATACTCTCCTGACTGAATGACCAACACAAAATGAGTTCTCTAAAATGTAAGTTCACTATGTTATGAGCTATATATCTACATCAAATAAGAAAAACCTGATTTCTCAGAGCATTGTTGTCAGCCTTAGCATAGTGCAAAATTGCTTTTGGCTCCAGCCAGAAGCAGGCCCCTCTCATCTTGCTGCAGCCCAGTTAAAGCAGAAGCTCATGTTTTATGGAGAAGCAAGATGGCAGCAAAGCTCAAAGCAGAGGTTTCTAATTATGATTTAACAGAGGACAAATAACAACAGTCCCAGGGCTCATATGGGAAGCCCCTTTGACAGAGGAAAACCTTCCTTTCTCATTAATTCATACATGGCAGCCCTATTAAGCAGAGCAACAGAGAGGACAGGCTCACATCAAGTTTTCATTGATAAGTCACTTCTTTCCAGTCTCCACCACTCTGTAAAGATCCTACAAGTGGTGACAGAACTCAGAATTTGTGGTCATAATGCTCCCTGCAGCACTGCTGCCTTCACTACAGCATGGAAAAAAGTAATCTTAGCTGGAAAACCATGATGTGATCATACTCTGAGATTTAACTGTACAGGCAGAGGGACTGGCTTTTTGCTTCTGTTTGGGTTTGTTGGGGTTTTTTTTTTTGCTTTGGGGAGGATGGGGGTATTGCTTCACAGTACTCCTCTGAATCAATAAATCCATTGCAAAATAAAGGCATTTTCATCAGCTCACTTTAGCTGCTCTGCCAACAGCAACAACAAAAAAATCTAAAGTAGCTAGTATTTTTGGGCTGCTTTATTATAACCAGCAAAATGGTGAATCTGCCCCCAACTGTTAATAATTAAAAAAAAAAAACATTTAAGGCTGCATATCTTCAAAGTATTAGAAATACTTATGTGACAGGACTGTTACAGAGTATGCTTACTTAATATAGCTCAACAAAATGAGATAAGAATTACTAAGATGTACATATAAGGTTGCCTTTCAATGAAGGTATGTGTGTGTGTGAGAAGAGAATGAAGAAGATCCTCATCTGCAAAAGACTACACAGCTCAGAAAATTTTCTTCAAATATTCTCTAGCAGAATCTGCAGCTTTTTACCTAATCTTTGAAACACACAGTCATGCAGATAAGGCAGCATTAAATGGATCACTGCTGCCTCTGGAAAGGAAGATAAGTTAGCCTCTGGTACTTAGACAGTCACTTTCTGGCAGCTGCTCTTCTTTCTCAAAAAATTTCTCTGCCAAGCAAAGATTATTTGGGATTGACAAATCTGTGCTTTGGAATAAACAAGATCTTTACTCTGATAGGATGTTGGAAACAGATGTTTAAGATCCACATAACACAACAGTCTATCAGGCCTACTATGTAACTTGAGGGGCTCTTAGGGAAAAGGTCCCACAAACACCTACATGTGCCTGACAGTGTTTATGAATCCATGCTATTCCAAAAGATGCCAAGGGGAAGAAATCTTTCCCTCACACACTCCAAGTCTAACGAGGAAAAGACAATTCTCCTTTCTACCCTGTGAGAGGGTGGAGATAAAGAGCACAAAGAGGAGGCAAGATGGTGAGGTTGGTGTAGCTGATAAAGTGGTCTGGAGAAATTCACACAAAACAATGCTAAGGCCTAATGAATGTACAAGGTGATTTGATTTCTCAAAAACACACATATCCCTTTGGGATAACTAACTGCTCTGTAATGCATGTGGCATATCAGGACTGCCAGTATTCACACACAACTGTTATCAATCCACAAACTTCCTGCTGTATCAATTGACTGGAGATGGAGAAAAAAGCTACACAGGGTCCCAAATTCCTCAGTGACACTTTGTTAACCACCAGTGCTCAGCCCATTGCTCTAAATACAGTCTGTGCTTCATCTGCAGCCCTAAAGGGTGGGTGCTCTCCTTGACCTTTACTGTCTCCTAATTCAAGCCAGGATGCTTCACCGGTGGGACAGTGGACTCAAGGAAACAATATGGAATATAAAATTTTAGGGCTTGTCTAAGCTTTAGTATTTTATTAAACATATGCCCAGAAGCAGAAGCCATCAGAAGCAGCTGTCACCAATTGCAGTGGCTGCCACATTAGTGATAGTATGTCACCAGTAAGTGCTAGAGCTGGATTATATTATTTTTGTTTCCCAGGACATGTTCTTCAGTAAAATCATCCCAAACCAAACACATACCATACATGCAATTTTACACGTGTATATAGACAAGCATTTGAAAATTGCTATCCAAAAATTGCCATAAAACTTTTTCGGATGTGATGCAACATAACAGACACGTACAGGGTACAGGTGGATCTGATAAAGTAACATTTAATTGCAAAGAGGCGCTGAATCTTTGTTAAGGTTTACTGTTACAAACATGCAAACATTCACTATTTCAAATGCAGTTTTCAGATATACCAGTTCAGATTTTCTGCTTGTAACATTTGGCACCAGCCAAGATCTGCACATTTCTTTTACCTGGAGTAATGGATAGCTTGATGTCCTGCGATATTAAAATAGAAATCGGTTGTGTGTTTCATCTCATCAGTATGTCCAGAGACTTCAATCCAGTGTGCTATTGGAAGGCAGTAAACTCCATCTACTATGTTGCTCTGGTTGTAAACACAACTTCGATCATGATGGGGCCCACTACCTAGAACAGAAGAAAGGACAGTGGCAGGCTGTGTACCTGGATAACCTTAAAAAAAAAAAACTGTGGGGAGATTTGAACTGAGCGTTCAAGGTCAGGAGTGGTGCTTCCTGCTTCTTCAAACTGCATGATCAACATCTGAAATAGTGGCAGCAGAAGCACTGCCACAAAGCAAATGCTCAGCATTAAAATAAAATTTTGTAGATTATTTCTAAAATGTATTTTAATTGTTTATTTTAAACCCCCCACAATATTAAAAACCCTAATTCACTTAAAATTTAAAGAATAATTAATGCAATTTAAGTTCCTCATTTTATGTCTCACAGTATGTGACCTCAGTGCTCAATATTCTTGCTCAGTGATCCCTCTCTAGGGTATCAATCCTGCTGTGTCTCAGACATGCCATGACAGCCTGACCTTGGTTCAGGCTGACTTCTAAGGAAGTTGCCAAGATATGGGAAAGACCCCAGAGAAAGTTCAATGGACAGCCATGCATGCTCAGAAAGGTAAAACCACAAAAAAAGGTAGGACTGGTGAGATAGGATATGCTACCAGCTAAAGGATTCAAGAGGAAAAACACCAATGTGGAACGGCATCAAAGCCCAAAGAAGGGGGCAAGACAGCAACCTAGAAACAAGGCAGACTTGTTTAAAGGAGCAAAGGGTGGCTCTCTTCCACCTCATTCACAGCTACCTACCCAGCAAAGACTCTTCAGATTCCTGTTGTAATCTAGCCAAGGAGCTCATTAAACCCTGTATTTTATGTTTGCTGACTAATAAACACTCACTTTGCTGTCTTCAAATGCACATCTCACTTTGGGTTCATACACAATAGAAGTAGCCCAAAGTGACCCACAGAGAGACGGTCACAATTGTAATGGTGAATGACTACAACTACCTTAAACAGCCTAGTTTAAAGTAAGATTCTTTTTCTTACAATTTTCCACTAATATTCATTATCCCTTCTATGGATGCTAAATCTGAACCAGAGTGCCTGTAGCTTTTACAGGCTACACAGAGCTCGATCCTGCCTGAGAGCTAGCCTGAGAAATTCATAGGAGAATGTCAAAACAATCCTCAGAGACAGAAAACAACTGCCAGGTGCTGTTTGTCTGTCCTCTTGTTTTCCTTGCAGGAGAAAGTCAGGAGGTGGTGTACACCACTGACCAATGATGGTGATGTAGCAGTTAACTAACCAATAAGAGTTTCCTTTCTGTACTTTCCAAGAACTAGTCTATAAAACAAGTCTAAAGTTTATACTAGGGATTTCTCCTGTTCTGACTCCCTTGAGAGTCTGTGTCGTTCTCTTCTCGCCGTTCCTAATTAGAGCGACACCCTTCTTCTTCTGTTACAGCAATAACATGAGCTTTAGTCAGAAAACCAGTTTTTAATACCATGTCAGAGTAAGCAACTGGAAATGAAATGGGTCATGCCATCAGTCAAAAGGTTATCCAGCCTCCAAAAATACAGTACATGTACATTCTCCATTCCCCACTTCCCACCACCATTTTTACATTGCCATGTAGGAATAATTATGGTGCAGATCAGAAGTGACCTAGTCTATGGCTTGCTTAAGCCTGTTGCACTTACACATTATTAATGATGTTAAAATATTTCTGAGAAAAAATATGCCCAAGGGAATATCTGCAATTTCACATTGCATGTAAATGCATGACCAGTTTCCAAGCACCACAATTAGGGAAATTTACTAGAGCAAGAGCTTTTTGGGAGATGTATTAATGCAATGATTAGAGAGTAAGAATGACATTTAAGAGGAAAGCTCAAACCATCTCCTTATTTCCAGACAACATGCAAGCCGTTTTTCTCATAATTGTGAAATATTATTATTTACCAAAATGAAAAATGAAATATGAGGCAGAAAACTATTTTCTCTTTCGCACTGCTGAGAAATTATGCATCATATAGTATTTGATTATTTTTATTATAAATAAAGGAAGAAAGATCAGTGCAATTTCAGAAGCTACAAATCTTACCACTATATTTTTATCTCACATTTCTAATTGTTTACATATTCTTACCACTTTTAAACAACACAAGAAGACAACAGCATACATCAACAAATACAACAGTGTAACCAAACCTAAGGATGTTTATGACATTTCATTAATGGCTTCATGCATTCAGCAAAATAGAGCCACAAACACCACATCTTGCCTTCCCCATTCTCCTCTCCAACAACTGTTTGCAGTGATGCACATGGCCATGTCCTGCCATGTCCTGCCATCACGAGGCTGTGTCTGATCCTGACCCCACTTGCCCACGGGCCCATGTCCTGTCCCAGCCTCATCTTGTCCCCAGGGAGATGCCTGATGCTCAGGGCTGGGGCTGCCTTCGTGCCCCTGGCTGCCTACTCCTGACTGCCAGTCCCATGGGGTGTCCCTGTGGTCCCCAGGGAGTTTCCAGCCCTCACTGCACCCTGGCAGTTTTGAACCATGTTCTCACGATCTCTGGCTTTTTTGCTACTCCCTGCCGTGTCTCCGTGTACGCAGGTACCCATCATGTGCTGCCCTATTTCCAGTTGCTGCTGCCTGAGGTGTGTGCACTTCTGCCACCTGCCAGTTTTACAGTTCATCAGCCTTCTCCTTCTCCAGCTTTAATTCTTGTCTCTTTTTTGCCTGCCTTCCTTCTCTATGACCTTCCCCCTTCTCTCTGCCTTCTTAAGTGATGCAACCTCCTTGCCTTTTAGCCTTATCACCTTCACCATCATTAATTCCCTTAAATAGCCCACAACCACATATGGAAATGGGACCGAGAGAAAGTTGCCATGAGATGTTTATTTTATTTGTTCCCTTGAACAGGTTTGGTCCAATCTCGTTCTGAAACACTTTCTTCTGTAATCAATATTTATTGCTGTTGATTTTTCTGCACTGCTCAGACTCAGCCTTCCCACTGTGGCCTACAGTCAAACCTGAATCTCAAAAGGTATGGTTCTGGTTTGCCTTTAATAATCAGGTAAACAGCAGCTTGCATTTGTATCTTATTTCAAGAAAATTGCCTAGCTCTTTACTACTCCTTATGTTATATACTGATCTATGCGTTAAACAACTTTCCTACTGAAATTAGACATCTGTGAAACAATGTACATCAACATATTTTCAACATATACATATATACTCACATGTGATATAGCTTCATACAGGAAGGAAAGAGTGCTACCATTTTCAATAAATACTAATTTAGGGAACAGTATGATCAAAGTGGACTGTGTTCAGAAAGTTGAATTCACTGTACTTCTTAAGGGAATTATGAAAATCTGCAGTTACCAAAGAAGATCAGGTTTCACTACCTAGGTAATATCCACATGACTACACAAGTGCTTCTCACCACAGTTTGCTTCACGATATGCATTTAACAAATAAGTTTCAAAATGAGGAAAAATTTATGTATCATCCACATCAAGCTTCTGCTAACACAATTTGTCACAGGAAATCCACCATATTTTGGATGCCATAAGACAACAATTCAATTTTTATAGGATTTCACATTTCTGTTCCTAGAGACAATAGTAAAGCCAAGAACATCAAATGTTTCAATCACATGCTCATCTTTGAAAAAAAGGAAAACAAACACAAATGCCCTTTGAGAAAGGGCTCACACAACAGCAAATAGATGGTTTTACAGCTAAACCCATTTCTCTATCAGTATTTTTCTTCATCTTGTTTTTATTCATATTCCAAGTGGCAAAACAGGTTGAATTATTTATTGTTGGGAAGCAAATCACCTGAAAACATGTAAAATTCTATCATAAAAAGGGTTAAGTTAAATATTTGAATAGTACTGATCTTCCCGTTAATTGATCATGTTGACTTTCCTAATTAAAGAAGAAAAGCATTTTGAACGAGTTTATTAGAATATACAAGTCCTAGTTTAACTTCTAGGATAGCATTTTTCTTCCTTTAATAAGGTCCGTATTTATTTTTATTTAAAACCCATCTTTGTGATTCTTCACAGCAAAAATGCTTATCTGAAAGAGAAAGATTAAAATAAGTTTCTAGGCTTTAAATTATAAAGTTTTTCATTGCTTTTGCACTTATTGCTCTGTACTGCAGATGGTTTTGCATAAAATCCACTGACACAGGGAACTGCTGGAGAGCAAAGCAACCAAGTAGTCACCTACAGCTCAACTCTCACAGGGGGTTCTTCCAAAATCTGCATGACTGCAGTTTATGGATCCTTGTTTAATGCTGTTTAATGTTTAATAATATGAAAGATGATCAAAGGAGCATAAGAAGTGGCTGTACAAATAACTAAACAAAAGAATAACACCAAAGACCTCCATATAACTGATAAATGGCACTGGTAAAAGGAGAAGACCAGAATGAAGCAAAGGAAAACTTTGGTTTTGATCCTCCTAGAGCAGGAAAGTTGGACCAGATGACCCACTGTGGTCCCTTGCAACCTGATTAATTCTGTGATTCTCTGAAAGCCAGATGAAGCTATAGGAAGTAATATAACATGTGCAAAGATCTAGGACTGGAAGAAGGTAAGCAGAAACCAGAAGAGGATGTTTGGAAATTCAATCTAATCAGGCACAACAACAAAACACAAAGAAAAACTTGCAGTTACTATTTTATTACAGCTCTACTGCAAGGATGAAAGAAGTAAAATCCAACAGTCTGCCAACAGCACAGACTCATCTTGACATAGAAGAGAACTGCCCTCAGATTTCATAAAAGAGTCAGAGTGGAGAAATTACCAGCTTGGTCTTAAAAGATAATAAACAAAATATGGGTCAACGAAATTTTTTATCACCATTAAGAGTGGTGAACAAAAACCACATGAATAAATGAAAAAAAATATTGCCTCTCCCACTGTCTCTGCAGAGCTCTTTGCAACAAAGGCTCTGCTCAGCCACTGCTCTCCCAGTTACCAGCTTGTTGCACAACTTGCTCAAAGTTTTAATTTTTTCTGTTTTGTGTTGTGTAAGGGAAGGTATGCAGGAACTGCAGGGCACAGCAGCACCATAAAGGTGCTGGGTATCTC